TGTCGGCTCTCGTTGGCATTTACAGTTTGTTCTTATTTAAGTCTTTTTTTGGATGAACAAACATTTTTACTCAGTTTTTCTTTTATCGGTTTGTGTCTGTGTGTGTTTAATCAGGTGAAATTATTAATGTCAGGAGCTACAGTGGGTATGTCATTAGTGATTCACGATGATGTTGTTCAGTCGGTTTCAATCGATTTCTAAAAGATGGATATAGTGTGCTAGCACAAAAGTTCATTTCCCAGCAGAATGCTTCTTGTACCTGCAACAAGTTTTATTCTCAGTAAAGACATTTGCCTTGAGTTTACTTTGCCTGACTTTTAATCATATATAAAATGCAAATGTAGGTTAATGATGAAGTCAAACAGATGGTTTTTGCTACGTTTTCATTTGAAGTTGAGATCAAACATGATATGACTCGCTTTAGCTTTTACTTATAGCATCTATAACGTGTGCATATGGTGCTCCTAAAGGCCCCGTGTGGTGTTTATCATGACCATTTATTTACTCATTAATATCTTCTGTAGGAAGGTAAAACACCTGATCGTCAGCAGTCTCTGCACAGCTGTTTCTGTCCTGTTAGCAAACATGTTTGGATAGTTCTGTCTACTCATTCGTGGTTAATTTCACATGCATGGAAAATTCCTTTTGTCACCTATTTTTATCTCCTTGCTTTAAAGTTTTGGTTCTATAAAAAACAACAACGCTTTTTGCCGTATCAGTAGCTCCGCAGCGTCACACAGTGTGACTAATACACCCTGTGGCTTGAATTTTTCTCTCTCCCCATTTCGCATCTATAACCTCGAGCACAACAAGCCTCCCAGACCTGACTCCAGTCGTCTATTTGTAATTGTCAAGTGGTTTTCATCGCCACCATCATTAGTAAATTTTCCGGCCTGAACGCGTTTCAGGCTGCAAACACACGCTGACACGTACAATTTATCACTAGGAAAGTATAATTGTGTTTTAACTTTAGGCTCTTTGTGAGGAGTGTCAGGGAAACCATCGAGATCACCAGTGGAATTACTACTTCCTGTCCCTGTGGTAAAAGAAACCTGCAATTACTCTGTTAAAAAAGAAACTGGAGTTTTCTGGTGTGTTGTTTATAGCAACGTGGCTATGAGGGTTTCGTAGGTTCACATTAGTAGCTTCATTTAAATAAGAGTCTGTCAGTTGCTGGGTTATTCTCTGTGTAGGGAAATGTTGATAATAATTGAATTTATGTGGTTAGCAGGATTCAGAAACGCAGGTCTATGCAGTACTTTTAACACTTATAGTTCACACAGTGCTTTGCTGTCACAGTTGGTAATTTAAAGTACTGATTAAATTCCCACAAAAGGAGCAAAAGAAAAAAAGTCCTGAAAGCTTTTAGCACAGAGTCAGGTAGGGCAGGAAGTGACACGTTTGATTTCAGCACTTTCTCTAAAATGCTGATTAAGAGAGAAAAGCCAAAAGTGCAGAAAGCCATTTGTTTCTGTCAGACGGCTCCTTTGCATTAAAAAAGTATTGAGATTTATTTCAGTGAGGCTGCACTTCTTTATGCCTCCCCCCCTTCCCTCCCCCCTCGCACGGCTCCATCTCCGCACCTGTCAACAATTTTTCAGCTCATTTCATTCTCCCCGTCTTCCGTCTTCAGCTCGCCGCTCTCTGTTTAATCTTTTTCTCATTTGTTTAGAACTCTTTGCTTTAGACTTCACGTGCTTTGGATCAGAACTTAAAAATAATGCAGTGTTTTTGGCACCAAATCAAACTCAACCACAGCGAAACCGTTTCACTAACTCCTGCGCTAAACTGCAGACGAGTCGGTCGTCTTGTTTGAATTCTGTGTGTGTGCTGAGGGAACGTCCTCCAGTCCAAGCTGTGTAATTTGTCTGTGTCATGGAGGCTGGGATCTGTTTTCTTTTTTCTCCTAAGAGGAAGACTGTTGAGACACGAGCGCTGCTTGATATGGCTTCTCCTTCTCTCTTTCTGCCCAGAATGAAGTATATATGGACTGGCCACATGTGTGCGGTCGCAGCCTACGGTGTCTGTGGGACCGAGCTGTGGACCGTGCTTCTCAGCGCTCTCCGATGCAACACGAAACTTCTGGTACGAGCTCACATTTTCACTTCTGGCTCCAAATAGAGTGCTGCAGGGAGGATGGGTGCTAGGATCTTTGTTTACGATAATCTCCAAAAAATTACACTACTTTATGTCCTCTGAAGCATAAATACAGTCATCAAAGCTGGAATTCAAATATTTAAAAACCTAATCTGCAATTGCAGAACAAAATGTGCTTCACCATCCAGGCTAGTCGGGGTTGAGTAATCTCAGATCTTGTTCCATTTAGATGGGAGAAATTATTCATTTGTGAACTAAAGACAACATGAAATATAAAAAGGAGAACTATACTTAGCCCAAATGTTGGGAAATTCCAGCGTTACAGTGACTAAAACTGTAAATGCACTTTGCAATTAAATGGCCCGGTTTTGCTTGCGCTGAGTTGAGGAAGAGGTGAATTTCTACCAATCAGATCGTGTTTATTCAAATGCTCCACTGTTGCCACTGACCAATTAAAACACATTATGCAAATATCTCATGGGAGCGAGGTATTTGCTTGTGCATGAGGAGATATTGTGTGTGGATACAGTTGCTAACGGGCTCTTCAGGCTCGTCTTGTGAGCGGCTGCCAAACATCCAGGATCTGACCAGCTCGTTCTTCCCAAATCGAACACATTCACTGCATTTACTGCACTGATCAGTAGCTTTTCCCTTGTCTGTGTCACATTAAGAGTGATTGCAGTCCCACGTTGAGCCCACGGTGCCGTTTAGGTGTCGTTACCTGTAAATGTGACTTCCAATGGTTGCTGATGTGGCTCAGAGTCTGTTAGATGTGTTTAACCCTTTAAAACCGGTCAGAGCAGCACTCTCCGTTTTGCGTAACTATTTTTAAATCCCGGTAGCTCTGCAACCACATAAGCTAGCGCAATAATTTTTTTTGCATATGAAACCGGAGGGTTGTACTTACATCTTATGCCATCAGCTTGTCCTCGGTCACAGTTTCCTTCCACATATAGATTTGCAAAAACTGCATAAAAAGCACTTGCAGCAACAAAAACATAATATTCCAGAAACACGCTTTGCTGATCCGATCAGCTGTTTGTAACACTTCCTACGTCCATCAGCACGAACTATCGCATGTCCGCCATGACCTACCCGAAGCCGAAAAGTAACGTCATTTTCGCGGAAATGTAGTTTTTTACCATCAGGGCCTCATGAGCTTATACTGGTGTTTTTAAAAGTTATCTTTGACTTTATGACTTTCTGTGTGGTTTCTGGGATGCTTAGGACTCATATCGCACTGCTGGAAATAGTTTATTTTGATGCATATGCTGCTTTTTTGCAAATTTGCACTATAATATTTATTTTCGTTTTTCCTGCAGTGTATAGAAATTGGTGTATTTCAAAAATAAAACTATAAAGACACTCAAAATAAATTTCCTGTGGTGGGAAACTATTTTGTGCAACTTTTTTGTATTTACAGTTTTGAGGGATAAGCCTCTTAAATTTCTCTAACTAGAAATATATGTTAAAAAAACAAAAACGATTTTCATTTTTTTGTAGTTTATTGCACTTTTTTGCAATTTATGTAATTACTATGCACTTAATGCATATATATTATTAAAATTTAGGCTGTAATGGTTGTATTGATGTAAATCAACTTGAAATGCTCCCAAAAATGGCTCCACAGCATGTAAAAATATAATATAAGCTCTGGCGGACTTGGTTCTATGGTAGGTCTTAAAGGGTTAACTGGTTGCTAACCTGTTTGATGTAGTAACTTTACATAAACACTGCGTGGCTGACGACATGTTCTTGACCTGATAGATGAAAGTGCACATGCTCGGAGCGCTACGTTATATCGCGCTTCCACAAATAAGTAAAGAGCTGTTTCAGCTATTACCCAGTGCCAAAGGTCGTCTGTAACCACAGTGCTGTGCTGCTGGCCACTGGATAAGCACACTACAGCACAGATTCTCTTCATCAGAGTAGTTTCGAGCAAGCAGAGAAAAAAAGACGACGGACTAGATCGTTTCTGGCCGGGCGATTGGACCGAGCGACGTCTAACCGTCGTTTAAGAGAAATTTGAAGTGTGTACTTTGTTCTTAAACGTGTCTCTGAACGTACTGAGGTTTGATTCCCAGTTCTAGTAACACTGCACATTATGCCTGTCACCACCCTCCAGTGTGAGTGACATTGATCTCGTTTAAAGCTCACTGCGAGGCGCTCTTGAAAGATTTTTCTATCTTTTATGATTTCCTGTATTGATGTGACGGTGAACCATTATGCTGCTGAATCCACAGCCTGCACTCTGAGCGGGTGACGGCATTGCCAGTGAGGCCACTAGGTGTCAGTGTGGTCACAACACGACGGCAGCAGGAATCAGATAAACGATGGTCGGGAACAAAGCTGCTCTATCTGTCTGTTATCTCACTCCGTGCTCATTTTTGGTATATCTCTGTGTGACTCTTTACTTTCCTCTGCCTCTGATACAATTATTTTCCTTCATTTCATTCACGTTGTTTTCTTTCTGTCAATTTGCAGTTGAGGCTTGTCAGATATGTCGCTCCTGTTGTGATGATCGGTTTCCTGTATTACAAGGTAGGCCATTTTCTTGGTGGTTTGTGCTCATACCTTTATTGGAGTTTTACTTCTGGAACCACATGGAACGATATGAGGGAAAGAAAATGGGCTAAATGGAAGTTACGGAAGAAAATGATGAAAAGCAATTGGAGCCTAACAGGATACTAAAACGATTGCTTCCCCTTTATTTATTTTACTGTTGGAGGAATCTAAATAGCTGTCGTATTCCCTGTTATGTTCAGTGAAGCAATAAGATGTTATCAAAGATATATCAGTGGGTTTGATACTCTGCTTATGGGCTTCATAAACCCAATTTTCCATCACTTGTCTTTGTCTTTTTTCCCTTTAGTTCTGGCCTAAGCTGATGGAGGAGTTATCAGAACTGAGGGAGTTTTATGATCCAGACACCGTGGAGCTCATGACCTGGATTAGGTAGGCGCATACACCCGCGCTCACAAATCCAGAGCACACATCACATTGAAGCAAATTTGATTCGCTTGTTCCTGCAGATCGAGTTTCGCTGTGCCTCGTGTCCTTGATTAGTCCGCGTGTGAGCGTGTCCGTGTGCGTGCATGCATGCATGCGTCTCGGCGCTTGTTTGTCGGAGAGTCTGTCTGATGAGTGATGAGAGCTGATGGATATCCATGAATAAGACATGGGAGTGCTGGAAAGGACCCAGCTGTTGGCAGAGCTCTAACCCACCTCAGGGTCTCTGTTGCTGGGCTTCCGATCAAGAGCATCACCCTGATGGGATCAGAGATGGAGCTGTGATTTGGAAATGCTCCGAACTGTCGCTGATGCTGCTGTGTGTTTGCACATCTGTGCGCGTCTGTCATTTTCTGGTCGTCAGGTTGGATGTACAGCGCTGGATTGGCCGCCCGTAGTGCATGTCCTACATCTGTGCAGCTATAACATCTGGCCACCTCTCTGCTTAGTGCCTGTTAAATTTCCCATTTATGTTCCACTTGCACCAGCACAGACAAGTTGGTTTAACTGGGATTGTTGGCAAGGTCAGTAGTTATCAGCTGGGTTTGCAGCTCTCTCGCTGACCTGAGGCTGAATGCTGGTCAGACATTGCGCAGTGCTGCTGGACTCGTTAGGCGTTCAAATTAAGAAGCGAGAGATAATGAAACATTACGGCTGAGTGTCAGGAATGAAGTGGGATGCAGTAGCGGTGCAAACTGAAGCTGATCATGTGCTTCGTCATTAAGATTTTCATCCTTATCGCTGATATTGTAACATAACAAGAAGGATATGCTAACTTGTGTATTTTGAATCTCCGTTCTAGAATAAATTAGAAAAAGTGACTTGTGGTTTTTGCAGAGGGGCTGCTAATAGAAATATTATGACACCAAAGCACCTTTTTCCTAAAACTTGAGTGGTTTTTTTTGTTGCTCATATCAGGGCTGTGGGTGTGTTTGTAGGCATGCTGAAAGAAAACTGCAAGAACCACATTTACAGCTGTTTTTAAGCCTTTGGTTTTCTGTAATTTTGCCTTCCTGTCGGCCATTGTGAGAGAGCGCAGGGCTTAGTCAGTGTTCCCACTTTACATTTTTGCATTTTACATTTTTTTTACAACACTTCCAAACATCTGCTGCTCTAAGCAGTCCAATTAAAAGTGTTAATGTCTTTGAATTCTGTTCATTCTTTTACGGAGCCCCGCAGGGGACATGGGAGAAAAAAAAATTAAGACGGACTTTTGCGAGATCTCGCAAAACAAACTCGGGATCTCGCAAAA